TTGTGGTATTAGTGGTCGACAACATCGATGGTGAGGACGACGACGACGACGACGATGTGCTGCTCATCGACAACGACGGCCTAATTCTTGGATTAATTTGCCGATAGTTTGGATTGATTTTGGGTTTTTGAAACAATTTCTTAGCCAATTCTACTTTGTCGGCGTCGGTATAATTTGTGGCCCGAATGCGCATATCGTTAGCCATCAGCACTTGGACTCTACCAGCAAATTCATCGGCACTTTCGCCATAATTTCGTTCAACAGATGGTAAATACCTATTATTTTGAGAAATTAGATAATTAAAGACAATCAATAACCAATCAAATCACTGAATCAAATACCGTACTTAATAGTAAAGACTGAAAACGGAACAAATAAAAACCAGAACAGATCAGACCACCAGCGACTACCTAATACAGACACTGCAACATTGATCGGTGCCGGTCGGGAAACGGTAACAAATATTGGCTGTATTTTTGTATCTATACTGAATATCCAGGTACTATACTTTAGTAGGCCTACCCGGCCGTTAGTGGTAGCACCTTCCGGATAGCATAGTATGGGTAGCTCTTTATGATTGGTATTATTACTATTACTATTATTATCATCAGTAGTAGTAGTATTATTCAAATACATCCTAACATTATTGATTAGTACATCCCGGCCCTGTTTGGCACCCAGATCATGAAATCCCAGTGCCCAGTTCAATAGTTTAGGTAAGTCCCATATGCCGGGTACCAGACACGGCATACACAAGTCGACAGCCAAATGATCAATGTTTGTAATGTGATTACTGATAACAATACGTGTCTTGGATTTGACATCAATGGATGCATTTTCTTCTCTAACTATTATACCCAGTATTGAACACATCGATCGTAATATAAAACTATTGATTAAAAACAAAATTAAAACAAACAAAAACAAAATATTAGATAAATAAATAAATAATTAAAAATACTTTATATAAAAACAACTTATCAATTATATAATACAGTATTATACTAATATATGGTATATATATATATGTAAATATATTTATAAACTATATAATGTATATTAAATTACAGTATGTTTTCGATAATATATTTTTTTTTGTTTAGTCAGTCATTTTGTAATTACAACTAAACTAAATACTATTGAAAAAAAACAAAACAAACAAAAAAAATGTTTAAAAAATTATAAGCAATTATTAGTAGACTATTTTTAAATGACAATTAAATATATAATAAAAATATTTTTTAAAACACATTCAATAAATACCAAATAAACAAAAAACAAATTGTATTATTAAATAAAATTATAACACATATTAAATAGTTTTTTAAATATAATAATTATGTTTAGTTTTTTTTAGTTATGTTTTTCTCATAAAAAAATTTGATTTCAAAATAACCGTATATTTGAAAAAATCAAAAATTTTTGATTAAAAACAACATTTAAAAAAACCATTTATTATATCTGTTATAATAATAATAATAATTAGTATTAAAATAATTAACAAAAACAAAATAATAACTAATACTAATAATACTAATAATTAGTATTAAAATAATTAACAAAAACAATAATAACTAACTAATAATAATAATAATTAGTATTAAAACTAATTAACAAAAACAATAATAACTAATAATAATAATTAGTATTAAACTAATTAACAAAAAAAAAATAATAATCAACTAATAATACCATCTGATTGACGACTTTTTCGGTAAAATAGTGGCCACTAGTATGGCGTGCAAACCGATGAATAGCCGTACAAGAAACAGACATAAACCCAATGGAAAATAGACTATCAGTAGTAATAGATCCATATTTTTGTCGATCCTTTAGACAATAGACAAACAAAAACAATGGTCATTATCATCAATAACAACAACTCATGAGTATAGCCAATGACATACCTATTGTGGTCAAACAGACTGTGAATGTCTACCACTTGATGCTGCCGTTGTTGTTGATGGTGTTGTTGCTGACCATTGATGACTGTATTACCACCACTACCACCACCACCACCTGATAGCTGGTCAACACCTCCACCACCACTACCACCACTACCTCCTCTATCTTCACGGGTCTGTCTGATCATTGTTGGTGTTGTTGTTGTTGTGGTTTATTTAATGATTAACTCGCAGTTAATAATGTGTTAATTGTCTTGAATTGTCTAATCAGTGGTAACTCTTGTTGTTGTTGTTGTTGTTGTTGTGGTTTATTTGATGATAACTCACAGCAGTTAAGATTGTCTTGAAATTAAAGCTAATCAATGGTGTTGTTGTTGATGGTAATCAATTGACACACAAATATCATATATATATATATATATATATTGATCACCCAATTGATCTAATGGTCGGATCAGATATCAATCAACTAATCAATTACAAGACAACAATTGTTTTCAATCAATCGGTTTGGTATTACATATGCTATGCTATGCTATGGCTATGTTGTTGTTGTTGTTGTTGTTGTCATTGAAATACATTAATATAATATAAAAAATTGCAATCATTTTATACTACAGTACAGTATATGATATGTGTATTACTTTTATTATTATTTGTATGTATTATTTTGTTACGTGTTTTTTATAACTACTATACCCTCTCTCTCTCTCTCTCTCTATTGACACTCAATTCAATGCTATAATACTGTATTTAAATACAGTATTATTATTGTTTGTCAATCACTAGAGGGATACACAAACACAGTTAGAAAATTAAAAAAAATAATTAAATAATGTTATAAATTATGGTTAACTTTATAATATAATTATTTAATATATATTACTCGTAATTAATAAAAATTTTATAATATGTTATAAAAATTTTTTTTTAATATAATATAATAGTTATATAAAAAAATTATATTGTAATACTATATATATATATATATGAATAATAAATTTATTAAAAAAAATTAATTGATCCATAAATTGCAATCATGTTTAAACAATTATCTATATTTTATTTAATTAATAATTAAATAAATATATTATTTATAATTTTAAAAATTATTTTATTTTAACAAAAAAAAATTAATGTTATAATTACCGTACAGTTAATGTTGTAAAAAAAATAATTAATTTTGATGAACCATATGATATAGTTATTAAATGATTTAAATTTAAATTTATTTATTTTTTTGTTTAACAAAAATAACTTACAGTACAGTAGTTATAATATATATATATATATATATACTGTATATATACGGGATATAAATAGATATCATATATCGATGTCATTTATTCATTCATTCATCCATTGCTTACTCTAAGACATCCATATCTTCATCAATGTCTTCATCAATGTCTTCATCATCATTGCCGTCGCCGTCTTCTTCATTATCATTACTTTCATTAATAGATTTATTGTCTTTATTTTTGGCCATCAATTTTCTCTTGACATTCAACTCTTGTTGTCGTTTACGCGACAGCTTCAAGTCCTGTAGCTGTTGTCGCCTGTGTTTCAGTTCTTTGATCTCGGCTTTTGTCCGCTGTATTAGCGAATGAAACAGTACTTCGCCGGCCATTATTCCTTCTTCTATTTTCATCAGTTCCAGTGTCAGCCGCGGACCCAATTCAGTCAATCTGTTTAGTTTAGAGTAGTTATTAAAGTGGTGTTAGAAGTTGGCCACAAAAAAAAAATAGTTACTGTAATACCAATTACCTGATAGCACTCTTTTCGTTGACCATATTTCCACGGGAACTGATCCTCTGTGTCAACATTATATGCCGATTCTGTTCGACTTCATCGGCCTCGCCCTCCGATTCGGTAAAAGCATTGTTATCACCGGCGCTGCCGACAACATCAGTCATATCGTTGAACTGACCCAAATCGGGTACTTTCTTACCCGCAACCAACTTACGTACCGTTCGGGACAGTCCGACGGGTTTCAATTTGATAGCGTAGTGTCTGAATTCAATCAGTCGAGTGTCCCGATCGTAGTTCAACAAAATACACCGACGTATTGTATTCAAGTTAACTTTGTTGACGTCCAACGCCGGAAACATATTCCTCCACATCGATGTCATCAATTTCATCTGCAACTCCTGGCCATCGGGTCCATCACCACCACCGGAGCCGCCGAAACCGTTCAATATCAACAACGGCGACAACTGAAACAGACCCGAATAGACCAGCGGCCGCTTCAGGGATGTCCGTACGTCCTTCGTTAGGGTATAGTTGACTATCTTGAAGGTCAGAGTCGGACCTCTGGGTAGACGACATAATCGCATATACGATGATTTCGTGGTTTTTGTAAATACGGCCAAATGTGTGACATTCAATGTGGAGGCTATGTGTACAAAATCTTTGACCACATTGTATCGTTTGACCCGTAAGGATGCAGCCGTAAACGGTTCCATAACCTGGCGAAAGTTGACCATCAATTCATTTACCGATTTACCAATACGTCCGCGTTTGATGACAAAACTGTGCGGTGCTTTGGTTAGCGATTCTGGTTCTTCACTGCCGGCTGCGGCCACAGCCGACCCGTCAGCCGATGATCCGCCGCGAGATTTACGAGACTATTGGTATATAAAAAAAATTTTTAGATGAAAATGACGACAAAATACATCTTCTCGATGATGAAGACATTCATACCTTTTTCCTTCGGCGACCCATTAGTTTGCGGTGTGTTTGCGGCCACCGATCGGTTGGTTAGTTGGTTATCGGTGATGACCACTAACTTAATGGTTAAACTAAATTAATTGTTAAAATTACGGCTAATATTCATACATTGATTGATTCAATTTGATTGACAACACAAACACGTGTTTTATTACTACAACTACTATATGTTTACTGTATTTATTAAATGCAATGCTTTTTATACATTAAATACATTTAAAATAATAATTATATGAATGAATCCCTTTTTCAATATATAGATCCTATTGAGTGTGTTATGTTAAATGGTACTAAAACTTTTCACATTTTTTAATTTTAAACTACATTACAGTTTGTATTTATTTATTTATTATTATTTATTTACAGTATTTGACTTATTATTTGATTTTTTTTTTGACAAAATTTAAACTAAAAATGTTTTAGTTATATATTGTTATATAATATTATTATTATTTTTATTATTATTATTAATTTAATTGTTATTAATGTTGTTTATTATTATTATATAAATTTTGTGAATATATTATATTTTTGATATTATTTAAGTAATTTTTTTAAAATATATTATCTGATTTTTTTTAAATTTTAGTAATTTATTTTGCATATATATATATTACCCAGATATTTGTTTTACATTTTACTATAGGTAATGATAAAATATTTAATTATAATTTATTTTTTCAATTTTATAGTGTAGTATATCGATATAATAATTATTATTATTATTAAATTTTATATATATATATATTAAGTATGAATTATTACAATTTATGTAATAATTATTTATTTATTTTTTTTATAATGTGATAAAGTTTTATACTACAACTACAGTATTACTAAATAGATATTATTTTCAAAAATTTTAAAATTAAAAAATAAATATTTATAACTAATAATTGAAAGTTTATTATTATTATTATATTATTAGTTAGTTTTTTTTAATTTCTCAATTATTATTATTTTAATTTTTGAAATTATGTTTATTAATTTCAATATTATATTTATTAATTTAATTTATTAAACTTAATTATAATATATAATATTTGATAAATATATGTATGATAAATAAAATCTAGTTTCAAGGTCAGTGTTATATCAATATCTATTATTTTAACCCATATTATTATTACAGTATCATGTATTAGCATGGTAACTTTTATTTAATTTTTTTTATCAAATTCAAACAATTTTATTTATTTATTTTTAAATATCACACAATTTCCAATAATTATTTAATTAATAAGTTAAATGGCATTTACAAAATTGCATACATTTATGTGTAATACTGTATTTTATGTTAAAGAAATAAAATAAAATGTCAACTAAAATATTAGATGAAATTATAATTAGATTGCAAATACTTTTTCAAGTACTTTACTATTAGTATTATAAATATTATATATTTAATATGTTTACTAAAAGTTATATTTTTTTCATGTATTTCAACAAAAATATGAGATTATACTGTATTTTTTTAAAAGGTATTACCCGACACTTGAATGTCTATCAGATAAAAAATATATAACTTATAAGTGTTATAAAAATAAAATGTTTTAATAAAATTGTTATTACATTACTAAACAAATAATAATAAAATAATTTTTTTTTAGTTAACACCTATTATTTGCTTATATCTATATATTATAATTATTAAACAAATATTATATGATTTTATTATAATATTATTTTGATGTAAATTTATTTGTATAATAATTTTAATACTTTATATATATATATATATATATATATTTAAAAAATATAATTTTAATTACAGTACTATTAATTAGTGACACCAACAATAAAAATGAGCTTAAATTTACTCAACAAACGGATATTATTTCGTCAGGTATTATAAATTATTAATGATTTTTTTATATATCATATAAAAAATAAATAAACTTTTAGTTAAAACTTAATTATTATAATTTTTGAAACAAAAACTTAGTGCAAAAAAAAATTATTTTTTATTTATATCTAATAATAATAATAATTATTATTTATTTTATATTGTTTTTTTTTAAAAACAGTTATTTGATCGCATTTCCTGTACGTATACCTATCTATTGGCCGATAATGTATCCAAAGAGGCGCTACTAATAGATCCAGTACTGGAACTGGTGGACAGGGATCTGAATTTGATCGATGAATTAGGATTAAAGGTATGGGTCAATAATAGGGTGCTAATTACCCCCGGGGTGGGAGTGGGGAAGTGTACTAATTACCCGGGTGGGAGTTGGGTAGGGTGCTAATTACCCGGGGTGGGAGTGGGTTAGGTTGCTATTTACCCATGGTGGGAGTGGGGTAGGGTGCTAATTACTCGGGGGTGGGAGTGGGTTAGGGTACTAATTACCCGGGTGGGAGTGGGTAGGATGCTAATTACTCGGGGGTGGGAGTGGGTTAGAGTACTAATTATCCGGGTGGGAGTGGGTAGGGTGCTAATTACCAGGGGTGGGAGTGGGGTAGGGTGCTAATTACCCGGGGTGGGTGGGTGTTATGTATATAACGATTTTTTTATAACTAATACACTACCAGTTGAAATACGTGGCCAATACCCACTGTCACGCCGACCATATAACCGGTTCGGGACTAATCAAGAAACGGCTGAATATTAATACCACAACAACAACAACAACACCGACAGTCCAGAGTATTATATCCATACAAAGTGGTGCCAAAGCGGACATCAAAATCAATGAAAACGATTGGATTAAATGCGGTGATGCCGTCAATTTGAAAGTGTTGGCCACTCCTGGTATATATATTACCATTATTACTATAGTTTACTACTATAACTACTAATAATAATAACTAATTAAAAATTTAATTTAATTTTTTTTAGGTCACACCGATGGCTGTGTAACTTATGTAGACTATGAAAACGGTTTGGTTTTTACCGGCGATGCCCTATTGATCCGTGGCTGCGGTCGTACTGACTTTCAACAGGGTTTGTCCTACAAAAACAAGCAATTGATTTATACATTTAATTATTATTATTATTAATTATTTTGTGGTTATTTTTTTAACTATAACTACTATAAATTAATTTTACTTAAAATTTAAGCAATAATTATATTTTATAAATCAATTTTAAATTATTATTAATTATTTTGTGATTATTTTTAACTATAACTACTATAATTAATTTTACTTAAAATTTATGCAATAATTATATTTTATAAATCAATTTTAAATTATTATTAATTATTTTGTGGTTATTTTTAACAATAACTACTATAATTAATTTTACTTAAAATTTAAACTATAAATATATTTTTATAAATCCATTTTAAATTATTATTATTAATAATAATGTTGTTATTTTTAACTATAATTAATTTTACTTAAAAATTTAATTATAATTACCGGTAAATAAATCCATTAAATAAATAAATTTTATTATTTATTTTTAATTTTTTAGGTAATTCTGGTTTACTATACGATTCAGTGCATAATAAAATATTTACATTACCCGATAATTTTCATATTTTACCCGCACATGATTATAAAGGTATATATTCAACAATAATAATAATAAAAAATTGAAAATAAATTGTAAATTATTTTAATAATAATAATAATTATTATTATCCAAATTATTTTTTTTCAGGTCAATGGTTATCAACTGTTTTGGAGGAGAAAAAATTTAATCCAAGATTAACTAAATCTAAACAGGAATTTATCGATATAATGGATAATTTGAATCTAGATTTACCCAAAATGATTGGTAATTATATTATTTATTTGTTTTATACTAATTATATGTTTTGTTTGTTTGTTTTTTTTTAATTGTTTAAATAATTTAATACAAATTATATGTGTATTTATTATGATTATATTATTTATTTAGATATTGCTGTACCAAATAATTTGGTTTGCGGTTTACATGATATACCAACTAAATAATTAACAAACATATATATATATATATATATACTGTATATATATATTAATTATTATTTGCTAATTATGTTAAAAACATATTATAAGAAATTAATTATTATTACATTGATTTTATTTATATAAATATTATCTGATTACTGTTTATTACTTATTTACTTTTAAATAATAATAATAATTATAATTATTTGTTGTTATGATATTAATTTGTTGTTGTTGATAAAATAAATTTTTATTTTTTAATTGAATTTTTTAATTGACTTTTTTTAAATTGAAGTTTTATTATTATTTTTGTTATAAAAGGATATAAATTGTTATTTACATTAGTTTAGTTCACGGGATAAATATATATCACATGAATGGAGTAACAAATATTGTAAACTATTGAATGTTATTAAACATACGATGCAACCGGTCTATGATGACAGACCTACCTGTGCTCAGATCATTCAACAGTACAATGAATGGGCTATCGATAGCACAGTTGTTACAAATAAACCAGAATTTAATGAAAAACTCCAACAAATCAAACACAAGGAATGGAAACTCCGTATAGAAAACATGGATTCAGAGCCAGAATTATGGCAATTGTTTTATACATTTGTTTTCAATTAAAACTAAATATTTTAATTTAAATATTTAGATTTAAGTAAATTTATAAACTATTTGTTTAGATAGAAATGGACAGTTAGGTAAGGGATGTGATAGCAATAAATATAAGAAACCAATGATTATACAAATCAATGACAACAATGATTTGATAAGTGATGTGAGTTGTGGTTCATATCACACATTAGTTTTAACGCATAATAATGATATGTATGGTTGGGGTCGCAATCATTTCGGACAAATCGGTAGCCGAGACATCAATTGTGAATCAATTACTAAACCGGAAAAAATTAAATTTAATAACAATTATTGTATAAAATCTGTTCACTGTTTTGATAACTTATCGTTTGCATTGACAAGTGATGGACAAGTGTTTATTTGGGGTCAAAATAGTAGCAATCAATTGGGACTAAATTGTTATAATCTGATAATATTTAGACCACAATTGATATGTAATCTATCAGGTATTACATCCATACAATCGGGTGCAGGAAAAACATATTTCAGTAGTGATTATAATAATAAAGTATATATTTGTGGTGAATATTATGATGAAAATAATGTAATTGATATACAAATGACACCAAAATTATTGGGTAATTGTAATGAATTTAGTGATATTCAGTCAATTATATCATATAAATGGAATGAAAGATCATTTATGTGTTCAATGGATGATATGGTCTATCGATTGATTAGAAACAACAAATTTAATACAAAATATAATAATTATTTTGATTATTGGGTTAATATATATCATATAACATATAAAACATATAAATCGAGTGAATTCACGGACAGTATAATTGAATTTATTGAATATACTATTAAAACAATTAAATCTGATTATAAAAGTTTAGATACTTTGAAATTAGATTTGTTTTTTCTTAACATTTTTCTTAACATTTATAATATTCTGAGCTTTATTTATATATATATATTATAGAAACAGTTTATAACGAATATTATAGAAATTATGATGAATTGCAAGCATTGGGTTCGGGAAGCTTTGGATCGGTTTATAAATGCAATTATAAATTCAATAATAAAATATTTGCAATTAAAATAATTAAATTACCAGGTATCTATTATTTTAAATAGTTATTTATATATATAAGAAAAATATAAAAATATAATAATTATTTAATATATTTATAAAAAAAAATTAATTAATTTTTTTTTAAAAAAAACGTTACATGTTCATAATTATATATTATAATTTACTTTTTGTTTATAATTTTTTAAATAAACAATTTCTACTTATTTATTATAAATATATTAATTTTATATTAATTTTTTTTAATAATCAAATAGAAAATAGTTTAATAAATGAAATGTATTTAAAAGAAATTGAAAAACTAACTAAAATAAAGTCACAATATTTGGTTAATGTTACACATGTTTGGTATTACACTAATTGTATATATATTTCAATGGATTATTGCATAATGAGTCTGAAAGAGGCCATCAAATTGAAAGCACAGGTATTTGGCAGACAATCATCGGATGAACCCATGGATTGTATGGAGTATTACATTACGTGTGAAATACTATTAGAAGTGTTAGAATGTGTCCGATATTTGCATGAATTCAATCAACCGGTCATTCATCGCGATCTCAAACCCGACAACATATTGATAGCACACGACATCCGAAACGGACGGTTCGTTAAGTTATGTGATTTGGGATTAATAACAGTTCACGAAATGGTAGCACAGAGTCATACGTCAGGTGTGGGAACTCCTAAATATATGGCACCCGAAGTCACATTTGGTCGCAAATATGACACCAAAGCTGATGTCTATAGTATTAGTTTTATTATTGAAGAGTTGTTCGATACGGATGTCAATGAGTTTGTATTAAAATTATATTTTAATTACTTATAATAAAAATATTTCAAACTTTTATGTTTAGTTCACGCGATAAATATATATCCCATGAATGGAGTGACAAATATTGTAAACTATTGAATGTTATTAAACATACGATGCAACCGGTCTATGATGACAGACCTACCTGTGCTCAGATCATTCAACAGTACAATCAATGGGCTATCGATAGCACAGTTGTTACAAATATACCAGAATTTAATGAAAAACTCCAACAAATCAAACACAAGGAATGGAAACTCCGTATAGAAAACATGGATTCAGAGCCAGAATTATGGCAATTGTTTTATACATTTGTTTGCATTAAAACTAAATATTTTAATCTAAATATTTAGATTTTAACTGAATTTTAATACTTTTGTGTTATTATTTAAAAAAAACATTTTATAATTAATATAATGCAATTTATATATAACAACAAGCAAACAATTAAATAATTTATAAATAAATAAATAAAAAAACAAACAAAATTAAATTGGTATAATTTAAATATATTTTTCAAAACATAAAATACTAAATAATTTTAAAACATGAAAAATATTTTTTTTCAAAAGTAATATAAAGTTATTCAAAAGTATTCAATTTGAGAGTAATAATTGCATAAATAGTTTTAATTAAGTATTTAATAATTTAATTATTAATTTTATTTTTTTTTACTAATGTATACACATTTATAGCTTTTACAATAAATGCGATCATTTAAATCAATTGATTTTATATAATAAATACCAAATAAATACATAAATTTTAATTTTCAAAAATATATTTAGAGAAAAACAAAACATTACCTAAACTTTAAATAAAAATTTTATATTTATGTATAATAATTAAATTAACAACAAAACAAAAAACAATTTACCGAAAAAAAAAATGAAAATATTTTTTATAAAACACACACACAAAAAATGACATTTAATTTTTTTTATTAATTATTATTTAATTAAACTATTTTTGTTTGTTTTAATACAAAGGAATGTTTTAATTATTTATTAAATATATATTCATTTATTTATATTATGCTTATTATCATTAATACACTTTATGTTTACTAAACACAAAATTTTTTAAATATTAATTTTATTTTAAATATATATTAATTAATTTCTTAAGAATAAAAATAATATTTATGATATAATGTGTACATAAATTGAAATTTCAATGACTAGTTTTTTTTTATTAAAATTTATTGATATATTATATTATAAAATAATTTATTCTAGTTAATTTTTATACATAAAATTAATGATATTAAAATTAATTTAAATAATATAACCATTAGGGGTGGGTAATAAAATATATAGCTAAATAAATAAACAAAACTTTTAAATAATATTTTTAAAAAAAAAATATTTACTGATTTGTAAAAATTTATCACTTAATTTCAATTAAAATAACTTTTTAAACATTAAAATAAAATTCTACAAAAAATAAAAATAAAATAATAAACAAAATATTTGTGACTCTCTCTATATATATACTGTATATTTATATAATTAAAGTATCAATAATTTCTAAAATAAATAATTATTTTGTTGTTGTAAACTTTGTTTCTCTAAACAATTATCTAATAAATAAATATTTGGTTTAGTTATAAATTTCCTTAAATAAAAAAGTTATTTAATTAAAAAAAAAACTAATTTTTAATAATTAATTAGTGAATTAAAAATGTTAGCTTAAAATAGTTGTTTGTTTCAAATATATAGGTATTTATTATTTTACAGTACTTTCTCTCTAATACTTTAGTAATAATAATACTAATATTACCGGTAATACTATTTGATGGGTAACTATCGGTAAAAATGATAACTAAAAATAAATAAAATTAATAATAAAAACATATCACAGATACCCCTCCCCCGCGCCCTATAACTCAATAATCTTGGATTTACATTGATTTTTGCGTTTAACTAACAACTGATGGGCTTCTGTATCCTGTGGTGAAGCCGATGAGCCGGCAGTGTTGGTGTTGGTGTTGGTGTTTGTCTGATGATCCAAATGATGGATAAGTCGTCCGGTAGTCTTCTGACTTAAATGTTGTACACCTTTGGCTATACGTGACAGTGGGGACAGTACTAAATCTTTTTTAACATTTAGCGGCGGATTTGGCAAATACAGGGCCAGTCCTACACCACTACCAGCACTGGAAACTTCCTTTAAAAAAATTACCGATAATTAAATAATAATAATAATAATAATAATTAATAATAATAATAATTAAATAATAATAATTAAATAATAATAATTAAATAATAATAATTAATTTACTTGAATAGCATTTTCACTTTGAGATGTTTTCATTTTATTGTTGTAGACATTAAGTGAATCGGTTGTTACGAGTCCTCCGCCGCCACCGCCGCCGCCGCAAACGCCGGCCAGCGATGACTCTCTACTACTACCGCATATCGAAACAGACATTTCGTTTTGATGATGACTACCGAGCGATTGAAACGATTCGGCTGTTCGGACGACACCCGATGACGATTGATGATGACTACTGGCCTCATGTGTTGCCGACGCCGTAGATGACGAGGAACGACAAGTTTCCAGATTTTCCGACGATTTCGATAGTTTTTTGGTTTTCTGGACAAACGATTCGCTACCGCCGCTGCCGGCCATTAACGCGGCAAACGTTTGCGACTCACTATTGGCTATCGAATAGTCAATATGTATGACTGGTGTCGATGGACACTGTCTTAGTTCGGCTAATGAAGCCGACGACGTCTGAATCAATGAACTTTCCGACGCTTTTCGGTGCAATTGTTTAAGTGATGCCCGTTTCATGGCATCCAATACAAAGTCGTCGACCACTTCGTGAAACACCGATTTCTGGCTAATTATCAGACCATCGCTATCTGTTGGCAACGGTTCGATCAGCGGCGGACTGGTAGCTATAATACCGCAACTTTCCAACAGCCGATCGGATAAATCGATTCCTCGATTGCTTGCAATACAACTTCGGCTGATATCTGTTGTACTGATTGATACATCGCTGGCCAACAGTAGTAGATCGGGATCTTCTAAATCGGAACACTCGGAGTAGTCAGAGCTGAAGGTTCGTTCAGCACTGGAATGATGTCGTACTCCTCCACCACTACTACTCAGTGGCAAAGTTTGCATTTTTGATCTGATTTTCTTCAATTTATGCAACGAATCTTCATCTTCCGATTCGTTGTCATCGTCCTCTTCATCGTCGTCCTCTTCGCAACTGCTCTCGACATTGAACGATACAGACGGCGATGTTAACGTCTGAAGTGAACCACTACTGCCGGCAGTAGTATTAATAGTAGTCGTAGTCGAAGTGGTCGCCAATTCATTGATGGTCTGCGGCTTATCATTGTTAGACCATTTGCCTTTCAGTCGACTAAACTGCGAATAGACACCGGTTATGGCTCGGGAGCCGACAGATTTCAGATTAGTTAGTTGACCGTCGCTAACATTTCGGTGCATATGTTGTTGACTATTATAGTTGACTTTCAGTAACAGATTATCAGTGGATTGTTGGCCACTACCACCACCCGAATCAATGTTACCGTGATTTCTATGATGGCCGACATTATTAATCAGTTTACTTTTACGGCGATCTAGTTTTCCCTCATAAAACGGTACGTTAAGCTCTTTGACCGATAGGGCAACTTTGAACGATTCGCCGATAGCTTTCAGCGATTCGGTTGCCTCATCCAAATTACGTATAGGAATGGCCATATTGTTGAAAAAACGGGTATTCGTCGACCGAAACATATGAAAATAGCCGCTCTGGCCATCGATTTGATAGTGAAATCTGATACAACACGACTGAGAATTGGATTTAATCAGAAATAGTTGATTGGGTTCGGGACCCAACTCTATCTTTTCTAAGTCTTCTAATAAAACTTTCTGATATTTAATGATTCGGTCGGTTTGGTCATCATATTCGGCCACATAGTAGCTGTCTTTGGTCAACACCAGTACAGTATCCATATCGGTATCGGTTATGGACGTGGATCCGGTAACTGGATCGGCATCAACCAGTGGCCAACCGCCTAATATTACTTCCGATTCGGGAATCAATATTTTCTTACAATCTTCGATAACCATTTTCACTCGTTCGTGATGTTCCTGTTCGCTCATAAGTTCGGGTCCGCCATCAACTGTACAGCCATCGTCTGGGGCTACGGCCCCACCATCAGGACTGCTCAGATCGTCGCTAACCGTCAAGCCTTGCATCAGATCAATGCAAGCCTGTCGGTAGGCGTCTTTGAAACGATTCAGATAATATCGATTAGCTGAGTGATAGCCGTCGCGTACAACACCGGTCAGCCGACGTTCGCCAGTTCGGGTAAAATCGCCTTTCAGTGCTACAGTTCCGGCGTATTGTCGGCTAATAATGTCGCCGTTGTTGGCCCACATCATCTGAAATATTCGCCTACAGTTTGCCGATAGCTGGCCTTCGGGCGGCAACAGTCCCAGCCGAACGAATTGGGTGTCCATTACGGTTCGGCAAATAGCTGTCATAACTATGTTAGTCCTGTCCAGACAATCAATACAATTGATTCGGAAGACACCTCTTTGTTCGCAAATCAATCCTTCGTTATCTATCCAACAGTAGCGCTGATCTTTGATGATGTCTTTGACGGCATCCATAAGTATCGATACGTTTTCGAAGCGCATTCCTCGACAGTAATCGTGAAAATCAAACGAAACATACGCCAGATTTTCGTTATCAAACTCTAGTACGTGATTAAGATATGCGTCGTTTATGATCTTTTCCCGTCCGGTCTTCTCCACCAAATTGACTACCACTGCGTTGCCATACAAATCCAATTCCTCAGTGAAATGTTTGTTAAACGCTTGTTGTGTTTCCTCTTCGTTGCGATCAATGCGCGGCGGCGGCCGGTATTTGTGTCCAATTTGTGACCAATAGATCGGTACCGATCCCCGAACGGACACAAACGATACAATGTGTTGACCAAATTGAAATATTTGTTCAGTTTCTACATAGTTAGCACATTTGCCCCGATCGTCGACACCGCGTCGCTTATAGCGAGTACCGGCCCGGAAACGGCTGCGCCTCGATATCAATGTCATTGTATAGAGTTCTTGATGGGCTATCGGCCTGGAGTCGCCGGCACCGGCCAGCCGTACGTCTTCCAGTGATTTGAAATCGGTTTTAATATTATCCGATTCATTGATATCGAGAAAACATTTTTCAATTTTCACATAACCCTGGATTATCGGTAGTATCCATTTGTCCACTACTGGACCACTAAATTGACAATCAAGTATCGATTGTAGCATAACTTTATTCCAGAAGAATCGGTTGTCCACACGCTTCCAGAGCGGCGGCGATGTCTGCAAATCATCTGAATCTTTGGCTTTGGTTTCTGTTTGCTTTTGTTTGTATTGTCGCTGAAGTGAATTTGTTAGGTCTCCGGTCAGCGAATAGTAGAAAGACTCGGTTTCGGTAAACATTTTATATAATTCCTAATAAATTATTAATTAAAAGTAAAAATAAAAAAAATTAATTACAAATAATAATCAAAAATTTATTGATGTCTTACATCTAGTAATCGTTTTTCGCATTTATCTTTGGTCTCTGTATTTGGATTACTTCTTGAGACGACTCTCGGCTTTACATGAGATGCCGTCCATTTGATTTGATTCCATGTCTTCTGGACGCCACCGCCTGTGCCGCCACCGGTACTTGTGGTCGATGAAGACGATGCCGACTGATGATGACTTGATTCCTGGACATGACCTGATCTGTCCAGTGGCTGCTCATCAGCAGCAGCAGCAGCGGCGGTAAGTTTCGTACAACAGTTATGTACTTTACACGGCTTTTCGGATAAAAACAAACAACAATTAATTAATTTGGATTCAATTAAATCGGTGGTTAGAAAACAGATGCAAACATACATCAAGTTGTAAATCGCCGATCGGATCAGCTGACGATAGGCTCAGGATTGTTATCTTTTGGATTTTGTAGACAACATCGTCATCATCACTACCATCAGTAATATTAGCTGCTGATGACGCCGATGATGATGACGATGATGATGGCAGACACCCGACCCGTTGACTCTGTCTAATCAGCAATAGTTTGTCCGATTGAAAGACACCGATCAGGCCGTAGACGATGCCGTGACAGTTGAACGACGAATAGGACGAACTGTCGCTAACTGATCCATATATGGATTAGTGTGAAAAACAAAACAAAACCAAACAAATACATTATCATTACTGATGGATCAATTGATATGAATATATTACCGATGATTGGTCTGACAAGTGGTTCGGATCCGGTTCTTGAACACCAAAGACTGTACTGGTCTTGTCTTAAGACAATATAATCAGTGTTTGACAACAACTCTATAGCCGTTGCTGTCTTGGACTCGGATGTCGTAGTCGTAGTGGTCATCGCTATATCACTGGATGTCTTGTTGTTGTTATAGTTGTGTCCATCGATTCAAATGAATGACTATTGAAAATGTGATTATAATATATCATATAATAAATTCAATTGTAATTATAAGCCAATCATTGATGAGATATTATACAGTATTTTAGTATATATTTGACGCATAAATACTTAATAAACAAAACAAAAATTGCAATCAATATAATCACATCATTAATAATAATAATATTAACGTTCAATGCATTGATTGTCACTTATTATTATTATTTAAGATATTTTTGATGATTAAATTAATTATTTAACAAAAAAAAATCAAATTAACGGTATGTATTGACTGCAATAATAATAATATTATTATTATTATATGATATAATAATGTATTGATTTAGTAGTAAATGATTTTATTTTATTTTATTAAATAACAAGTAATTAATCGCACAATCAATGCATTTGACGTATGTTTGTAATGTCTAACATAGTTTATAATACATACAACACTATTGATAGGACCAATCAATGCAATATATAAACTGTAATGCAATACCAAATTTATTTAGACTAGTGTTGTATTACTTACACTGTTTTAAATAACACCTACTCTCTCTCTCTCTCTCTCTCTCTCTCACAATATATAACTTATTATTATATAATATAATATTACTGTACTGTATATACTGTTTAATGTATTACCTGATTGTATAGCTTATCCATGTAATTGTAACTCATATATATATATATTGACGTAAAATTTTATTTTAATTTTTTTTATTATTTATTCAACAACAAAAAGTTTATATTTAAAAATTTTTGTTTAGTTTTATTGGTATTATAATTTATAATACATGTTGTATATACACACAATAGTTATTATTATTGTATTTGTTTAAAGCATAACTAATATATATATATTTAAATAGAGGAAAAATAATTTAAATAATAATATAATATTTTTGTTAACATTTTACATAAAATAAACATTTCATAAATAAAATAATAAATTCATTAATCTAAAAATAAAATAAATTTAAACTATAAACTATATTTTTTTAACTTATAGTTTAAAAATTTATATAATAGAGTTATAATTTTATTAATAGTAGTAACTTTCCTATGATATTATTATTAATATATAATATCATATAATAATAATAATATCATTTACAATAACAACTATATGATAAATGATAAATAATTTTTTTTAATATAATCATTAAACAAATAAAAAAAAATGTTTGAATATACATATGTATAATATTTATTTAAATATCATATTATAAATAAATATTATATATATATATATATATATATATATATATATATATACCTGTACATTGTTTAACTAATTAAATTTATTAACAAAAAACAGCAAAAAATATTCCCATATTTTTTTTTTGATTTGATTACCACACAAAACAAACATCTATTTAATAATTAGAGGGTTAGGAATAAATGGGAGGGAATTTTATTTATAATACTGAATCTTTCCTAAATCTAACTATATATATATATATACTGTATGTTATATACTATATATATATATATATATATATACCGGTAATTAAAAACTCATTTCCAACTAATCTTTTTTTTTGTTGGCGACTAATGAGAAGTTATGTTATTTTATTTTTTTAGTCAAAATGATTAAAACAAATAAAACTAACCAAAAAAAATACAATTAAAATAAAGGTTAACGAAGTATTAGGAAAAATAATATGTTATTTAACTAATAACACAATATTTGAAACCTAATTATTTGATATTATTTTTATTGTATTTTTTATTAAAAAAAACTTTCATTTATATACAGTATATATATATATATATTATTTCTCTATCCTATTATAAACTTTAGTTAACTAATAATCCTATTGCTTTGCTAATTGGTATGCATTTTATTATTATTATTTTATTATACATAATATGATTCATAAATAATGATAACATTTTATTTTTGATGATAATTGGGGTCAATATGTATATAATATAATGATATGATATATGAAAAAATAAAATAATGATTAAAGCAATTATTGTTAGGACAGATGTTTTAGTTTCCAATATATATATATATATATATATATATATATATATATATATATATATATATATATATATATATATATCTATAGGTATATATAATATACTAACTTTTAATGTTAATTTGGATGGATTTATATACAGATTATGATTTTATTTTATTTTTATACATGATTTTATCATTAAGTTAATTCAAAATATTTTTAAAATTTAAATAAAACAAAATTAATGTGTGTGTGATATTGTATACAATTGTATGTTTTTATTGAAACAATAAAGTATATTAAATACAATTAGTAATGTATAAAAAAATGTAATTACTAAGTAATAAGTAATTTCTCAAAATAAATTGTGTAATACATAATTTGTTTAATTAATTATTATTTTTTTTTTGAATAACATATTATTTAAGTATTCAAAGAATATTAACAAACAAACAAAAAATGTTTATACAGTAGATATTTACCTATTATTTAAGTAATTAATTTAAGAGATTATTTTTTATCATAACTTTTATACTGACATTGTGTATGTATGTGT